TTTTTTTTTTACAAGCATTCAAAGATTGAATTTTGACAACATATGTAAAAATCACGAAAATTCGCAAATTATTTCAAACTAAAAATTCATAAAAAATTGTCTTTTTAAATCTAAGATTTGAAAATTTTTAATAATCTATAATATATCCTAGACAGATAAACCGTCTTTGCTCAGAATCGTTTTTTGTATATACAATGATATAATATCATTGGATTCAAATTTAATTCCATCCATTACAGTAACCCATGCACTTGTAACCTACTGTACAGCAGAGCGACATACACAACTTACCCGCTTTTTTCTTTTTGCATATTATATAAATATATCTTTTTCCAGGACCGAAAAAGAAAAGGCTAAATTTCAACAAGAAGTTTACGAACTTTTGGCACAACTTGAAAACGCTAACAAGGATAAAGTAAAAATCAAAAATTAAAATTAAAATAATCGATCATATATCATTATTCTTTATTTTTTCAGTACACTTCGATTAAGACAATTGAAAAACTAGAGATCACTATTCATGAACTTAACATTCGTATTGAAGAAATTACAAGATCTGTTACAGAAATCACTTCGATTAAGAGCCGTTTGTCAAGTGTTAGAACATATTATCAAACACTTTTTTTATAATAACAAAAATGTATAATACATATTATAATTTTAGGAAAATATTGAATTAGTTAAAGAAGTTCAAGATTTAAAAGTATCAATTGAGAACTCTACATATCTTAAGTCTCAAATTGCTGGACAATTAGAAGACGCTCGCAGAAGATTAGAAGACGATGAAAGAGTATAAGCAAATTTATAATATTCAAATAATATCTTAATAAATGTACTCATTCTAATAATATTACAGAGACGATCACTTTTAGAATCCAACTTACATTCAGTAGAAGTTGAATTAGAATCAGTAAGAGTTCAATTGGAAGAAGAATCTGAAGCTCGCTTAGACCTTGAAAGACAATTAATAAAGGCTAATGGYGAGTCTCTAGCATGGAAGTCGAAATATGACTCTGAAGCAAGCGCTAGGGCCGAGGAAGTTGAAGAGCTACGGTAATTAAAATGACAACAAATATTGATAAATAATAATAAATAAAGCTTTTTTGTAATACAATTTTTTTAGTCGTAAATACTCCGCACGTATCCAAGAACAGGAGGAACACATCGAAACACTTTTGGTTAAGGTCAACAACTTGGAAAAACAAAAGTCTAGGCTCCAAAGTGAAGTTGAAGTTCTTATTATTGATTTGGAAAAGGTTTTTAAATTTGAATGCTTAAATATTTAATTTGAATAAAGTAATAACATAATGTGTACTTAGGCTAACAACACTGCAAGAGATTTACAAAAACGAGTTGAACATTTAGAAAGAGTCAATATCGACTTGAAGACTCGCCTTGATGAAACAACTGCATTGTTTGAACAAGGACAGCGGGACTTGAGAAACAAACAAAATGAAATCCAAAGATTGACCCATGAATTGGACAAAACCAGAGAACAAAAAGATCAACTTACTCGTGAAAATAAGAAATTGGCTGGTATATAATTATTTCATTTTTACAAGATATTTAAATTAAATTATAATTAATTTTAAAACTAAAATTTAATTCAGACGATTTGCACGATGCTAAGAACACTATTGCTGAATACAACAGAAGATTGCATGAATTAGAATTGGAACTCAGACGGTTGGAGAATGAACGTGATGAACTTAGCGCTGCTTATAAAGAAGCTGAAGCTGTATGTATTATATTTAAATATTGAAMAGTGGGTTTTAAATACAAATATTTKATGTTGGTATATAGGGAAGAAAAGCTGAGGAAGGTAGAGCTTTCCGATTATCTGCTGAACTTACTCAATTCAGACACGAAGCTGAAAAACGTTTGGCTGAAAAAGATGAAGAAATTGAATCTATTCGGTAAGTTTTTTTGGACTTATACATTAAATAAATTTAAATAAATTAAATATCTTACAACCTAGACTTTTGGTTCTATGAAAATAACTATAATAGTATTTCTGTAATTGTTGAACTATAATAGTTTTATACTGAAAGTTCTTAATAAAAATAAAAATAAATTATAATAGCAATCATAATAAAATATTTAATAGAAAATCATAGTTTTATAATATTTATAATAATAATAAAATAAATACCTATATAGTTATGGCTAGACTTATAATTAATCATTATGACTACACAACTATAAAGTATATCATAATATATAATATCAATTATCAATATTCAACTTTTAGTATAAATTAAGAAAGATGAATGAATAAATTATAAGAACAATAGATTACCAAATAAACTAAAAATAAATAATTTCAACATTAATTTGATGGGTAATTTAGCAATAAAAAAATGGATAGACAATCATACAAATAATATAAATAAATAGGTTGTAATATAGCGATGTTATATATGAATATTGAATATATAATACTTGCTGATCGTGCATGGTGTTAGTGACAAATTAAATAATACCCGGGAACTTATCTTATCTGTATAAGTTCTTAAATATTGTAACCTACACATATTTTTAACACAATAATTTGGGTGGTTTTGACCAAACATAAAATAGAGGTCTAAAATTATAACAATTATTTTATTTTATATCATCAACGACAACCCTATACCAATGTTGGAAAAACCCAAAGGGTGTTAGGAAATCCATGAATGTTACATACTTAGCTGTGGATTCACTTACACACACATTAATTTCCTTTATTCATATATAGGTAATAAAATAAATCTAAATATTAAATTAGTACTTATATAAAATATTTGAATCTATTGTATCATTCCAAAAATTATCAGAAGTTAAATTATGTACAATATTACAGATATATAATTGAGATTTKTACACCTAGACCTAATTGCTCTAATATTGGAGAATTTAACATTTTATTAGTTATGTCCTATCAAAATACTGAGTGTATAAATATGTATAATAGTATAATATCAAAATACCAGAATACCACGACATTTTATCATAAATCGAACAGTAAAAATATACTTAATATTACTTCACTTTGGAATGAAAATAATTAAAAGTAAAGTTTCAATTTACAGTAGTCTACATTCCAGACAATCTAARCGTATACTTTTTATATATTTTTATTAATTATTTAAATAATCAAATTGCCTCTAATCACCCAACAGATAATAGAAAATCGTATAGATTAGGTAAGAATTTGTGACCCCCCCCCCATAATTTTCATAATAAGATTTGATATTAAATACTTGCATACTATGATGTATCATAATTCATAATATAATATGTTTATACATTTTTAAATAACTTCTCATAGATCAACATTTAAAGTGTATATACGCAGTAACTCATAATCACACAGCCCATGACTAGGTAAATAATATTCTATAGAATACATATATTAATAAGGTAAGCAATTATGAAAAAGTCTTCAAATTTTATTCTATACCTACTAATAAATTATTATTATTGTCAATTAATRCATACTTTTTTTAATCAGATTATTAGAATGTATGTTATTACAACGTTAAAAATAAAATATGAAAAAATATTATTGAATTATGTCGGTATACCTATAAATATTTCAACTAATATAAAAAATATATATTTTGCACTTACTGGCAAGACTTGAATTCGGGTAATCCAGGATAATTTTCCGGAATTTCGGGAACCTAAAATCGTTGAAGTCGGGAACAAGTTTAATATATTACCTATCTAAGTTTTAAACATATTTTTACTCCCGATTTTCGGTTACTGAGAGGATTTTTCAGTTATAACACAAAACGTAAAACCTAACAATATGTGCTACCCTGCAGTTAAGAACCGAATATCCAAAGCTTGGAAATCTTGTCAATTACCGATATTTATAATTTATAAATATCGAATACCAACTATCGTTACATATGAACTTTAATACTATGTTTAATTTATTTTGGCTACATAAATTATTATAAGGCCGTAGCTACTATATATAACAGTTTAATAATTAATAACTTCATAAAACTATTCTTAAATCGAACTATATAGGTGTAAATGTGTAATACAATTTTTTAGAAAACCGGTATTCAATCGGTTACCGAAACCGAAATTTCGTGAATCGATTATAGGGAGCTCACACTACACCGTGTCATGTAATGTCGTGTTGTGTAAATAAATTTTCTCTGATTGGTTGAACCGCGTGGTAAATCAAATTACACCATATAGCTTATCGTTTTAATATCACACGATACCGTAAAGTCGAATATTATACTCAACTTGTAACCGTGCAGTGGTTACAATTATGTGCAGAAAATTRATAACTAAAAAAAAAATGTTATGATTAGGTACAACATTTATATCAATGATATCGCAYTTTGGTATACACATAAAAAACGCATAGACAAAGGCGCACAATCATTAGAAACACAACACGATGACAACGACAAAACACGGTGCAAGTGTGAACCCCCATATCGCTTGATTGGTAACCCGCGCGTATTATTGAATTTGAATATAGTACTAGTAAATAGTTACTGCTAACGACAGGACCGGTAACTAATAATTAAAACTTTTTCTATATTACCTGATTTCTATTTCAATCCCTGCCTGCTATTGTGGTGAGAATGTGAGATCTACCACTGAATTTGTATTTACGCAATAAAACCATAAGAAATCATATTTTGGAGAAATCTTAATCTTATCGGTTCCTAGTAAATAMATTTTTTTATTATTACGGGGATGTTTCAACTGCGAAAATATCCCCTGACTACCATCACWTCCAATATTGGTAGAAGGGACATAGGTAGGTAGCTATTATTTTTTCAATTAGGCTTTTATGTTTGTTAATTGATAATAATACTAATCATGTCTTATGTCAACCAAATAAATTATGCATCAGGTTTAGCCAATAAACCTATAGTACCTACTCTAAATATTGTAATACAATTATAAAATAACCACCACATAAGTACGGTAATATATAATATATAGGTGTAATTACTTTTTTAAATGTATAGTACCAATTTTCCGCTATTATAAAATTTATAATTATTATTAAATATAATATTAAATAGGTATTACATACCTATTATATATAAGGATAGGTAGTAGGTATACCTATTAATAAAACATTGACCTACTTTCATCTCATCAAAAAAACAATTTGGCACTAATTCAAATAATTGAATAACTTCCAAAATTATAATATGACTCATAAATTTGTATAATTTTTAATACATTGTTTAATACATGTATCTAARTTCTAAAATCAAATGCATGAAAGGATAAAAAAGGCGTTAGAAATTTAGTTATTTGTCGTCTATGATATTATTTTAATTGAGAATAGAAAATGTATTGAATAGAAAAAGAAGCGTATTGTTTAGTGGTATTGCTTCAAAAATATATTATTATGTACTTAAAACTCATAAACTCTTAACACAACGAAATTATCAAACCCGAATCATATAAATAATTGCTTACAAAATATATTATGATATTATGAAGTTAAATTTATGAAGAGTTTTTAAAGGTAATTATTACATAAATTGGGGTACAGATTGTTTATTTCAAATAAAGAAAAAAAAATTCATAAATTATATCTAATCACTAACGTTAGGTATACTAAATATAGAAAAATGATACCATCAAAAAATAAAATCTTATTAKACTCTTTAAAGATTAGGTTTATTATTCACTATTTAGTTTTAGTTTTAATTAAAATCCAATTCCTCAATCCCTATAGTATAGTATGTATAAATGTTCAATACTTTTAAAGCTATAATATTAATTTTGGTATGAAAAAATAAGAATGTGATACTGACATACTGTGATATACAATATTTTACGACAACACTAGTTCAAGTGAAAATATAACAGATTTTTATGTGGTGCGTTTTTTAAACTTAGTGTTTTGTTAGAACACACTTAATAGCAATTTTTCAAATGAACGTTTACCTATTTARTGTGGTAAAATTATGCTGTTTTCTTTATTTAAATTTTAAATATAAGTACTAAAGTACTAAATTATTGAATTTATGAGAATATTATTTGGCGTGAACACACGCAATTATATCAACTATTCTCATCTTAAGTATCAAATATGAAATAGTATACAAACATAAAAAAAAGTTTTGTTTATTGGTTATTATTTTATTAGCATTATAATATTTGGCTCAAAAGTAATTAATTGTCTTTAAATGACTTTGACCTATTTATCAGTATTGTGAAATATTTGTTTTAACTGTTTTACACTATCATATTTATTCAATTTTTCCATAATGTTCTAGTATATATTGTATTATTATTATAAAAAAAAAAACAATAATCCTATTAAAAAGAGGATGAGGTAATTAAACTACCACATTTAAATTAAATTTATCAGCGAAAAACTCCTTATTATATTTTGAATTATGTATTATACTGTAGTACTTATAGTACCTATATTAAATAAAACTTAAATTTATCCCATCCACATTTAAAAACTGAAAACAACATGTATAGGCACTAAAAATAATCACTAAATGTAGATAGGTAGCATTAAACTAGGAAGAATGAACTAAGAAAGCTTCTTTAAATGTTTTTAATGGAATTATATTGTGAAAGAACGTTCAACATGCCAATGACGTCTGTATGGAAAAAAAATAAAGCTAAATAGAAGCTTATTTCGTGTAAATCAAAATTGGCTCAGATTGAAGACCTTCGATTTGTTTTATAAATACACCCGATAGACATTGCCCAGCAATCATAAAAATAAATCAGTGATTATTGACGATCGGTAGTGAACGAAAGCCATTCCTAGATAAACGTTGTATTCGTGTTCAATCTTCGTAAAAAAATGTCCAAGAACTTCCGGGGTAGGTCGGCTAAAAGCATCGAAGCTACATTGCTGCGTAATGCACACAAAAATATTGCTGAAGATTTAATATCCTCAAAAGTATCGACAAAAGAAAACTACAGAGGTGAAATGAAAATTAAAAAAAAAACAATTTTTGATCTAACCCATACATATAACTCTTTGGATGAGACCAAAATGCTACAACCTCTACATGAAATCTCTAATGAACTCCGGAAGTTCGAGACTAAAAGTTCTAATTATTTTGAAGATGGAAGGTATTAATTCAAAAATAAAAATAATTGACTTTTTTGTTGTATAATTTTTTTTTGATTTTATTAATGATTTGTATGAATATTTATTTTTAGCAAGCAAACAAGCATTGAAATTGAACAACTGAATGCTCGAGTAGTTGAAGCCGAAACGAAATTGAAGACGGAAGTGACGAGAATCAAGAAGAAGTTGCATATTCAGATAACTGAATTGGAAATGTCATTAGATGTTGCCAACAAAAATAACATTGAGCTACAAAAAACTATCAAAAAGCAATCTCTCCACTTGACGGTAAAATTGATTTTAAAATAAAAACTATATAAAGATACTTAATTTTCCCTATTGTMTTCACTGACGAGATATTGTAATAATTACCTATTATTATTAATTAATTACAATAAAAAGTAGGTACTCACTCAAACCGGGAGTTTGTAATTTTCACCAAAATAAGATTAGGGATATGTAATTTATAAAATTGTACCTATAATCGAAAATAATGTTTATAATTTGCGCTGAAATTAGGCAGTATCTATATAGTTTAATGTCAGATAGTTATTCAATTTGAAATTCTTTTATTAGTTATTATTTGTATTATTAAATAGGAATTGCAAGCTCACTACGACGAAGGTCAACGCCAATTGGCTGTTACATTGGATCAATTGGCCATTGCTCAGCGCAAGATCCAATCTCTTACTGGAGAAATGGAAGAACTCCGCGGAAACTACGACGCTGTAAGTATAGAACATATAACATAGTCAACAATTTTCAACAGAATTTGTAGAACCAATGTCTAAAAAGCTTTAATTCATATTTATTTTAAGACATTGCGTAACAAACGAGCCATTGAACTTATGTATGAAGAATCACAGAGCCGTGTAAATGAATTGACTACCATCAACGTTAACTTGTCGTCATCCAGAGCTAAGATTGAACAAGAACTACATCAATTGGTATCAGACTACGAAGAAGTATCTAAGGAGTTGAGAGTGAGTTTTTACTTTTCTTAAAGTTGAATCAATATTTATTATAATATTATATATAATTGATTTTTAAACATTATTGTAAAGATATCAGATGAACGTTACCAAAGGGTGCAAATTGAATTGAAACACACTGTAGAAGTATTGCACGAAGAACAAGAGAGAGTGATTAAGATCGAAGCAATTAAGAAATCATTGGAAATCGAAGTCAAGAATATTTCTGTTCGTCTTGAAGAAGTCGAAGCCAACGCTATTGTGGGTGGTAAACGCATTATTGGCAAATTAGAAGCCAGAGTGAGTAAACAAATTACGATAACTTAATCAACAATTTAATATTTTACTCACTTGGGAAATTACTTTTTTAAACAGATTCGTGACTTGGAATTAGAAATCGATGAAGAAAAACGTCGTCACGCCGAGAGTGTTAAGATTCTGCGCAAGAAGGAACGTTCTCTCAAGGAGCTGGTCATACAAAGCGAAGAAGATCACAAGAATGTGCAACTCTTACAAGAAGCTCTAGACAAAGTCAACCAGAAGGTCAACATTTACAAGAGACAATTACAAGAACAGGTTTGAAATAGTTAAATACACGTGCATGTAATAAATTACCAGTAAATTATTATTATTTCATAACTAAAATATGGTTTGATTAAATATCTACAGGAAGGTATGAGCACCCAGAGTGTAACTCGAGTGAGACGATTCCAAAGAGAATTAGAAGCAGCTGAAGACAGAGCCGACGCAGCAGAAAGCAATCTGTCTTTGATCCGCGCTAAGCACAGGAGCTTCGTGACAACCTCACACCCAGGCTCGCAAGTGTATGTTGTGCAAGAATCAAGAGCTACAACTACGTCTTCAGAACAATATTAATTCGTTTAATAACATTGATTTTCTGTTTTTATTAATGTAACATTTATTTTTTTTTTAATAATCGACCGAAATAGGCTACACATATTCCACGTGACGCAAATCATTTTAGCTTTTTCAACTCTTTGAAAAATACTTTCTTAAACGTTCAGTGTTTAGTATATTCTCAAAAGTACCTACTTTAACTAAACACGAAAAATTCACCAACAAATAAAATAAAATAAATGTAATACAATGAAATAAATGCTTTTAATATATGTACATCACAATCTTTAAGTTGGACAAGCTGGAAAATATCATTACGATCGGTAGACCTAATTTTGGTTATTTATGAATTTCATTCAATATAATACGTATTTCATATGTCTACATCAATAAAACAAATTAATAAAATAATTTTAAATGATTAATTTATTTATATTTTACAATACGTACTTCCTCTACCTGTACTCCTGTACTGCAACTTGTAAGTTTCATTTCTGTACAAGAAGGTATAATTATTTCTTAGATTCATATTTATAATATTTAACAAATACACCGTGACGCTTACAAAATATTGAAAAAAATGGCGTTGGTATCTTCAATTTTGTTTAGAATTGTTTTTTTTTTAACTCGATAGACTGTATGATCTGTCTTCCGCTTTTCATATTATTTTTATTCTTAGGAATCTTTGGCCATTGGTACAACTTACGGTAAGTATTATATATGTATATATAGGTATATTGGTTTTAAGTTTACCGATGAAGTACCTTATTATATCAAATAGTAAACGCACCTATGCATAGGTATACGGTGATCATGAAAAAATATTGTGTGGGGGGGGGGCTTAAGTATTTGGTAGTAAGCTGATTTTAGAACCGTACTAGTTTAKTTCAGTAAAAATGTAAACTAATCATAACTATAAAATCCAGTTTTAATAGTTTATTTTTTGGAAAAATTAAAAAAAAGCCAATTTGTAAATATAATTTTTAGACATGTTTGATGTAAAAAACGTTTATTTATGTTGAATAACCTGTTTATGTATTATAATTTTTTTTAAATATCAATATTTTTCTTAGGAAATGTCCCGACATAGGTATATTTCTTAAATAATTTATCATCCATATAATGCTCATGATTTTTGTCATATGTTTTAGTTTTACTAGGTTAGTACCAAGTATTAAACTTTTACATAATCTATATGTTATATAAGCACTCAATGATATTTTCAAAGCATTTGTATTAATTTTWAGCTATTTCTTGTTTATACCACAAGGCACAAATCTATCAACACTAWTAYAGTACATAAGTCGGTTGTGATTCAAAAAATAGCAACAATAATATATAATATAAATATATATTATTTTAATTAACAATACAAAAATGTTATAAAATATATTATTAGGTCAACAGACTGTCATCAATCAGAATCTTTAATTGTATGTGATGATTTATCGTTGTATTCAAATTTAAGTTGCAACACATATTTCAGTGATTTATTCATTGACAAGCTACACTCAAATCTTGATACCTTCTGTACAACAGAGTGGGCACCTCCTTCCCCCATTCGGTCTTTTTTCTTTTCTCATTATCTGTCCTGGTAAACCATAAATGCAAAAATCGAAAAAAATAATTGTCCATGATAGTATATATAGGTACTTTGTGAAAGTTATTTGGCAACAAAAAATTAGAGCAATTCTTAACTTTCTATCTGATAACAGGGAATTTCAGAGTTTTAAAAATATCCCAGGACATTGTGTTAGAAAATTGATAAATAAAGAATCACCGTAAGTAGGACATACAATATTATAAACAATGTAATTCAAAGTACAAGGCGTATGAGTAACTAATGACAATATAATATAATTTATTGAACAATTATGAAAAATTTTGAATGGATATATTTTTAAAATTTAGTTTACTACAGTAATACATGAAATARTATGAGTGTTTGGGGAAAATTTAACACAAATAGAAACAAACAATTAGTTCACAAAATTTTTGCTTTGATCAATTCTAAATGGTATTTATCTAGAAATTTATTTGATAAGAAACCAACAATAATATAGATATTCACATATTTCAATGAATTACTGATTAGCGTTGACAATATCAACAAATTCTGGTTTTAAGGATGCACCTCCAACCAAAAACCCATCAATGTCACATTCTTTAGCTAATTCTCGGCAATTAGATGATGTCACAGATCCACCATAAATTATACGTGTAGTATTAGCAACAGTCTCATTTACTTCATCAGCTAGCCATTTTCTTAAAATTTTATGGACGTCTTGAGCCTGAAGAAAACAAATATGATATAAGTATACAATAAACCCACTAAAGAGATATTTAATAACTTACTTGTTGAGGGCTAGCAGTCTTCCCAGTACCAATGGCCCAAACTGGTTCGTAAGCAATAACTACATTTTGCCAATTGCATATTTTATCCTTAATAGCTTTGATTTGCTTAGCTACAACAGCTTCAGTTTGTCCAGCTTCACGTTCTTCAAGAGTTTCACCAATACATGCGACAACAGACAATCCAGACTCTAAAGCATGATTTACCTTTTCAGCAATGAGCTGTTAAAACATTTAAAACAATTTAATATTAATTCCAATGTTTTACCTGGGGGGAAAACCCCCGCATATATTATATATAATATTTCAAATTTTTATTTTATTACTAATGAAWWATTTTAATTTCTTCTCAAACCTAATGGACAAACTAACATTCAAATTTATAACTAAGCTGGTGAAAATCTAAGGTGTCATGCAAAGGCTTTTGGAAATACATGAAACTTACTATTGTTGAGACAGAATTAATTAATTTTTTTTAGAGATATTAAAACAATGTCTAGAGATTACAAATATATGAATGCATAGCAATAAATTAATTTACTGTACATACTTTATTCATAAAAAACATCAAATGAATAAGTAAAATAGGGTATATATATGTGAAAAAATATAGATAAAACTTTAAAGAAATATTAAATAAAGAAAAGTAGTTATTTGTATCAGTGGATGATACAAAGAACTATTACAAGTTTCAAGGCTTGAAGCCTGTTGTCAAAAAATAAATAAATAACATAAATACCTATATTTCTGAAGAATATTTTTATCAACTTAAAGACATTTTTAAAAAATTCTCAACATCAAGAAATATTAACTGATATAACTAATATAACTATGAAGTATAACAACTATTTATAGTGATCCCGGAAGAAGTTTAATCATTAATATAACTACTATTCTATATTGAAATTATTAATTTCTTTTTTTTGTTTTTGTCTTATTTTTAAATTGTTTACCATGTTTTTAATGTAGATTATTATTTATTAGACTATTAAACTATAGTCTAAAACTTATTAGTTTTATTTTTTCATAATATTTGTAMTAAAATAAGGTTGTTAATCATGATTTAACAATTTATAATACGTAAATAAAACCAACATTACAGAGTTTAGACTATAGATTAATAGTCACGCTGAAAACTATTAAATGCAAAAAAGTATACAACATTAATGCTTGATATTTTATATTTGTATCTATATTTATATTATATCATAATTTGTGAAATTCTAATATTTTTAATAGTAGAAAAACCTTTTTAATCAAACTTCCGGTCTTCATAAATCATAAATACTTTTAACTCCTAAGTCCAAATGGAAAAAAAAGTTGGCTAGCGTAGATCTCGACAAAAATATTAGGAACCCAACTAGTGTATACATGCTATGAAGAAATTTACAAAATATATCWTATTCCTCATGAATTTAAAAAAAATCAATCAATTACAAATTTAATTACAAATATCTTTTAAAAATAATATTTTGAAATTTGTGAGGGGCGTGGTAATGTGCATTTTAGCCATCCCTAGTACTTAGGACCTAATTTTGAATTTCATATGCATATTACCAATGGTCAATTTTAACTTTTCAGTTTAACTTAATACTTACAGTATCAGATTCTTGGAATATCTGCCGGCGTTCAGAGTGACCTAAAATAACCCAATCAATACCAATATCTTTTAACATACTAGGGCTTATCTCTCCAGTAAACGCGCCTTTTTCTGTTTTAAAACAGTTCTGTGCTGCAACATAAATGTTGGATGGTGCTTTTTCTTTAACAAAATCCAAGTATATGGCTGGAACTCCAATCAAAACCTCTGTAAAAATAAAATGTGTAACTAACTAAATGCACATTTCAATCTACTAGGTAATGTTATTAACTTACCAACATTAGGGTCCAAAGGTCCCTTTACTAAATTTCCAAGTAGTTCATCAGCGACTTTCTTCGAACCRTTCATCTTCCAGTTGCCTCCAACAAAGAATTTACGTGACATGTTGGCCGTTGAKAAAAACGATCTAGAGGAAATAGATTAACAAATGGAAAGTGAAAAATGAGTAAAATCCGGAGAATGAGAGTCAATGTGCAATGGGCGCTGCGTCCGGCAAGTAAAAATAGTAAAATGGAAATGAACTGATTAACTGATGAATGCTGAATGCAGACGGTCAGTCAAATGGTAGTTTTCAAATTGATGTTGAATGATAATAGCGGACCTAAGGACTAAGACCTTAGTATTGACATGGACCGTGATAAAACCGTAGGACAAACTTATGACCTCTAGGCTCTGACTGGGGAGGAATTAACTTATCTCAAGGTCCAAGATTGTAAAAATAAACAAACATATTTTGATAAATCAAATTGATAACYATTAAACTATATTATGATAAATTATCATTATTTCATATTTGTATCAATATTGAATGATTTGAATGTGTCTAGTTCATAGGCATGTAAATATATATTTAAACATTTTAAACATAATATTTTTGTATGTCTATTGTCTACGGTCTTGTTAGTGTTGTTGTTGTCTTGTTGACTTGTTGCTTGGCGCTTGCTGATTACTGTTTAGACTTTGAAATTTTAAAATAAAAACACATTAAATAAATTATCGATACTACTACATTAATGTTACCAAATACTATAAGTCATAGTATTTAGTGCTATTAAATATTAATTATTTTCGAGCAAGTTTGTAAGTATATAATATGTATCTATATAATCAGGGTCAGATTAACACATTTTGTGACTTTGCCGATAATTATTTAGTGCTTATGATCATATAGTTTGATATTTCAGCTATTAACTAAATTCGCTTACATGTTATTAAGAGTTATAAGAATAATAAAATAATAATACTAATAAACACAATAGAAAATTAAATTAACTGTAATAAAAAAACCTATTTCACATAATATTTTCCTTTTAAATCTTACGCCCTGGTGCTAATGCCTCCTCTGCCACCTTTTAGTCCATCTCGTGTAAAATAGATTCAGTAAGCAATTTCTTAGACCATAACACCATTACCAGGTAAAGCTATACACTGTACCTATTATTGACATCTGGGTATCTAGTGCTAATTTTAGTTATCAAGATAAGGTTGCTTATTCTCAAATGAAAGACTAATAGGGAGTTTAAGCAAAACTCCACCACTCACCAGACTTAAATCATAAACTCTTGAGTCTTAAAACAATCATTGAGATAAAATAATAATAATAATAATACTGTAACTAAAACTACAAAAAAAATTATGTTTCTCTTTGATTAATGATTGATATTTAATACATAACTTGTAAGCATTTAAATAGTTTTGTTATGTGATGTATAATCAGTAATATTATTTAATTTCTATTAGGTAGGTCGTAGGTATACAAGATGATCACTTGTTATCACTTGTTATTCAAAAAACTTCTTACATTATTAAAGACATTTTTTTTTTACATTATTTGATACTTATTTCATCTCCTATTATCCATGTCATTCAAAAAAGTATTGCAAATATTTTAAATTATATTAAATAAAAGAATTATCCTGTATTTAAAATCTATCTATAATTTTCAATAAAAAAATATATTTAATTAATAATTATTAAATAGTAAACTTTATTTTTTTTAAGTGAACTAATTAAGTTATACCTRAGAAAGTTTATTTTTATTGAGATTTTTCTTTATTCTGCTTGACTTTACTTTGAAGTTTTCAAAAGTTTAAAGTACCTTTTAGGTCATATAAATACTTAAAAATTAAAGCAAAAAATGTTGGTCTTGAAAATTAATTTCATAAGAATTCAAGTCTATAATATATTTAAAAAAAATATATGATACACCTTCATTGTTCTATTACTGTATTATAAGAAATGTATGGTAAAAATAAAAATAAATAATTTACAAAAATAAATTAAAAATGTTATAGAATACTTACCTTTTAAAACAATTTAGTAGGTGTGCTGGCATTTTTTTGTTGAAAAATAGTAAAATTACTGATCTTATTTGTAAAGATGAGTAGTAAAAAAAACCAGGGATAATACATTAACATGGAAAATATATGAAAATAACAGTGATGTAAAAAGGAAAGCAAAATAAATTCTTGTACCCATAAACCGTTTTAAAGAAATAAAAAGCTTATGTGGCAATAATAAACTTTTTTGACTCCCAATTAAAATGATAGACAGTAATCTAATTACACTTATATTTTTATGAAACAAATCAAACCCTTTCCTTTTTTTTATTAGTTTCAGTCGTATGTAAAAAATTATTCAATGTTTTGATCTTTAATAACTCATGGCAAATAATTCTGTGGACGAAATATCTCAAAGAGAAGAAAAAAAATATGTGTTCAAAGACCCGACTTTTGACGTAAGTAATTTAATTAACAACTAAATAATCATTGTTATTAATTTAAATAATTTACATAACAATAACAAAATCTGTTGTTTTTCTAATTTTAACCAAATTTAATGAATATTTTAATTTTAAATAATAATACAATATGTCATTAGGCCAATATGTTACTATATGTATATATATATATATATAAGTTCTTAAATCTTAAGTATGAAGATTGAATACTTTGGTGGCTTAAGTATTTTTTTTTTTT